ACTCTATTATGGCCCATAACAACCCGCTCTGGCACTATATAGTACAGTACAGCCTAGAATATTATTTAGATACTACTTCTGCTTCTTGCTTACACGTTTGCGCGTTATGCCTAGTCTAATTGCACTGTCCGCAGCGCCTTTAGGATAGCTCACCTACTTTAGCTTACACCTGCTTCTTCGCCTTCTTCCTATTACTGCGCGCCTTAAACTCCTTTAGAGCTGTTAAGCGCAGGCTTTTCTAAATTATTAACGTCTTTTCTGCCTTAATCTGCTTTTTTTTTATGCAATTTATATTACATAGTAGCCTTATTAGCTGCTTAAAGCTTAGTAATTTCTTATTACACTAACACTAGCTTATACATAATTATTGCTGCCTCTTTTAAGACCTTCTTAAACGCCTTAACTATAAAAGTTAGTAAACTATTTATATGCTTTTAAATTTTTATCTTTATAAGCATTAATTATAACTTAAGTTCTAGAGTATTGCTTAGAGTTTGTAACTACTAGAGCTTGTTATATATAGGTAGTAGTAGTAATAGAGTGTGTAACTTTACATTAAAGCCTATTATAACTTATTATAGGTTAAAAGGAACTAATCTAGCGCCTTAGAACTCTTCTTAGATATTACTAAAAGTAATTATAGCATTATAAGCTGCTTTAAAGCATAGTAAGAACTTTATTTTTATAATATAAGTAATCTAGTTGCATATAAGGTTTTTAGCTTAGCGCTTATACACTTTTTTTAAAGAAGTAAAACAACCTACATTAAGTAGCTATAAAAGGTGTAATAAGTAAAAAAGTATATAAATAGTAATAATTTTATTATTTTTATAATATTACTAGAAATAAAGTAAGTTGTAGCTTTTATAGCTGTTAATAACTAATAAATAGTAGCTGCTAATAGTACACTTTTTTATATGCGCATTAAAGTGCTTTAACTAGTCTAAACTAAGCTAATTAGTAGTCTAGCTGTGCTTAAAAATTATAATAACTTAATCTTAGAGTAGATTTTCCTTTTTATACTAGTTTAAAAGGTAGTTACTACCTTAAAAGATAATAAAAAGCAGAATAGCTTACCTTTTAGCATTAATGCCCTAGATAGCTGTTGTCTACTTCTAGTTACCTAGCTAGACTGCTTTTAGCTGTTCTTATTTTTTTAAACTTATAACAACTACTCTAGTAGATATCTAGCCTATTATAAACTTTGTTTTATTAAAGTTGTACATGTTATTATTCTAGATGCTATACTTAGCTTTAATATTCTTTATAAAGTTAAACTAGCTTTAAATTACTATAAAATCTTTATAAAAAGCTTTTTTATAGTTATACTTACACTTAAACTTTACTTTAAGCTTTAAGTAACACTTAATAAACATATTAAGCTAGTTTATGCTAATATAGCCTATATTATACTTAGCGTGTAAAGAATTAGCTATATTAGCTACAGCTACTAGCTAGGGGGGAAATCCTTATGCATCTAGCTTAAGTATGTGCTAAATAATTACCTACTTCTTATTATTATCTAGCTTTTATAAGTTAGCTATATAATTAGCTTAGAAAAGTTATCTAGTGTGTTAGTTACTTATTATTTTTTAAAAGACCCTATAGATAGCTGTAGTGTGTTAGTTAAAAAGTGTTATATTTTATTTAAAAGCCTAAAGCGTAAGCTGCATCTAACATTTCTTTAACACATTTAAGTAGTGTTGTTAGAAATGCATTAGTGTAGAAAAAGTAGTGTAGTAGAGTCTTAGCAAAAGTAAGCAACTTAGGTGTGTAAGCAACTCGCCTATAAAGTACGTTACTAATAAAAACAAGTAAATATTTTTAGCTTTTAAAGTAATTTAAAAAGCCTAAATTTTAATTATTTAAGCTATAATAGTAATTATAAATTCTATAAGACTATATTTGCTTAAAAATATAATAGCAAATTTTTATTACATAACTATATAACGTACACTACAGGCGAGTTGCTTACACATATAAGTTGCTTACTTTTACTAAGACTCTACTAAACTACTTTTTTTATATTAATATATTTCTAACAACACTACTTAAATATACTAAAAGAAATGTTAAATATAGCTTATATGTTTGCAGTAGTGACACTTAGATGCGTCGTCACCATAGTTGCACGATAGTCGGATGTGTCGTCACACGATGATCGGATGCGTCGGCACCATAGTCGTATGCATCTCAGCACAGTCTGTTGCCACGACTCACCCACTTATTTCGCATATATATAGACTCCTGCAAAGGACTCCTCTAGCAATACATTCAATGCAGTCCCTCATGTCTTGAGTGCCTTACATAGCTTCACATTATAATTTAAGCTTTTAAATAAAATGTAACACTTTTAAAGCAATATACTATAGCTATATATCAGGTTTTTTAAAAAATGATAAATAACTAACACACTAAATAACTTTTATAAGCTAATTTTATAGCTAACTGATAAAAGCTAAATAATGTAGAGCCGAGATGGCGCTTACGTGCAACAGGTATATATACTATTCTTAACCTAAAAATTAACATTAGTTAATTATTTATACCTTTTAGTTATATTAGTAGAGTAGTGTAGAGCTTTATTTTTATATAATAATTAACTAATAATAAGGACAGTTACGTGTTTAACCTACACCTTAGACAGCTTAGCTAGTTTTTAGACTAAAACATAAGGCAGCCTCTTCTAGCGCCACGTTGTCGCTGCTAGGAGGTCTAGTGTATATAGCTTAGCTGGCGTAGGCCACTAAGCGTTGTGTTGTTATTTATCCCGCGCCTCTAGGCCGCAGGTAGTTAGCCTCTAGCTGGTAACTAAGACATGCGCATGGCGTCTCTAAGCTGCGGGTGGGTCATGTAACGCCTAGAACATGCGTCTGCTAAGAAGGGGGATAATGTAAGGCTAAAATGGCGCTTACGTGCAACAGGTATATATACTATTCTGCA